GAGTTAGGTTTCTACGGGATGGGGACGCTAACCCCATGCCCAACCCTCCTCCTTTACCCGGGCTTGGGACCGGCAGTAACTCTGGAAGAGCTACAGGCGGAGTTAAATGATTGAAAGTATTTAGGAGAAAACCCTGTTTTGTCTAGGTTTCATGCTACACAGCACTCATCAGCAAAATATATCTGTAACATTACAAGAATTCATGCTATCTATGTAATTTTAACAGAAATCATTCAGCTTCACAATTTTAGAAGTTATCATATAGCTATTAAGGCTGCAGTGGCCATAATTTCCAACATGTAGTTTTGAAAACAGATCATTCTCCTGTTATTATAACTCAGTATTAAATTCTCAAACAGACTAAAGTTTAAATCTTTGAGAGAAAGAGAGAGATAGAAATAGTATACTTTGTCACAAGTTTACAATGATCCCACCATATTCTCTATCAACAAGCTTGAAATATAAATCTATAACTTCGAATTGTTTCATCTTTAATGCTTAGAATCATTTGAATTTAAACATTAAATAGGTGAAATACCATAGAATACTTTTAAAAACACCTTAACCAAACCTAACAGGTATGTAGTACCTGTTCAACACTATACTATAGAAAACGTTCTTCAACCTGAATTGATGAGATAATGTAGAAAGTTTTAATATGAAATTTATCTGTAAATAAATTTTTGATAACTTTTCTTATACCCAAATATCTTTTATATTCTTCAAATAGTTCATGACTCATAAAGATTTATGTAATATTATCAATATAGTTGAAAGAGTGATTGAATATATGAACAGCGCACACATACACATACACATACACACACAAATTACTTTAACGGTTTGTTTATTTATTTATTTATTTACACAATAGTTGTTTACTCCCTCTTCTCCCTATTATCATTACCATTATTATTATTGTTATTATTATTGTTATTATTATTATTATTATTATTATTATTAGTAGTAGTAGTAGTAGTAGTATTGACTTTTATGATCATGAATAAACGATTATTTAATTCCTTCTATCCTTTTTAAAATTTACCATCTCATTCAATATAATGACTTAATTTTAAAATATTTCTTGTAGCATGTTAATCTATTTTCTTTTGTTGTTCTTGTTGTTGTTGTTGTTGTTGTTGTTGGTGGTGGTGGTGGAACTTGAACAAACACCATTTTGTTCACTAATGTCAAGTTAAGTTGACTTCTATCTGTATCTATATATGTTAAGACAATGCATATATGTGTATCATAGTAATAGCAATACTAAAAAGGGCAATACATTCAATTGTGAATATTACTCACTAGTCAAGTAAATGATAAATAAATATTAGTATTATGTTGGAAAGTAAACCAGTAAGCCAATATGATTATCATTATCCTTATTATTACTAGTGCATTGGTAGTCTCTATTCTATAACCATAATTCATTTTCTTTTTTTTAGGTGTATGCTTCAAAAGTAATGAATTTTATTACATTGAAAACAGTTATATATTTAGAGAGTGGAAGGGGGGCTAGTTTGTGGAGATTATAGTAATTTTTAATAGTTAAATTCATGAATCAATTGAAATTAAACCACCATGGAAAACTTGGAAGCATTGAATGGCCGTTATATAATCTATTCATATTGTAATCCATTGTATTATGGTCTATGTGAAGAATAAATCATTAAGAAAGACACAATAATATATATTAAATTTTAATAATAATAATAGTTATTATTATTACTTACTTTCAATATATTTTTACTGGACCCCTCATCTATGTAGTTAATTTCTTCAACGTTAAACAAAACTATGACGTCATCATACTTCAAAAAGAATAACTATGAGTACAATGAAATTCTTTAAGCAATTCGTTGATTTAATGGTTGAATTCATAAGTTACTTATAGCTAGAACATCATCGAAAACCTGGAATCACTGGACGACCGTATGGAACTCATCATCAGTGGTTATCCACGATCCCACACCAGAGGGACTCCAACCAAAGACCTTTGGTTCTTCACATGAACGCTTAACTTGTAGATCACTGAACTGGCATTTAATGAGGTTGATTTCTAGCTTCAACTAATGCATGATAGTGCACAACCGTCCATCATTGTCTTCGGTAACTGCGTCACAACAGATCAGGTTGAACTCCACTAGTCACGGCTTCAATATATATTTCCTGAACTTCTGGTGAGAAGTCGTGACCGGTGGAGATTAACTTTCTGTTGTAAGGTAGTTATTCACCGAAGATAATTGTGGACGGTTCACTAATATAGTAGATTTGTTGAAGTTAAACATTGACATCGTTGGATGCTGGCCGGCTCAGTGGTCTAGAGGTTAAGCGTTCACGTACGAGACTGAAGGTCCTGAGTTCTAGTCCCGCGTGTGGCATCATAAGTGCGCACAGATGAGGAGTCCCATACCAAGATGAAACTTCTATCTAATGGTTCTATGTTTTCCATGGTGATCTAGCTTAAATCGACTCATGAATTCAACTATTACAATTATTATAGTTTCCACAAACCCTCATTCTGATAACAATTCATTGATTATCAAAGTTATTTATTGATAAAAATGAGTGATATATTCAAGAATTCTTTATTCTTATCTTATTCATTTTCATTCTCGCTATCATGGATATAAGTAAATAACAATGAGAATAATAATTTTCAAAAAAAGGGTATCACAACTAAATAAAGTTTTACCTTTTATCCTTACTAATAAAACACTAATCTATACTCTCTTCTAATAATATGACCTATTATAGTTTGTCTTATTTGTACCTTTAAAGGAAACGAATAGAAAACAATTAAAGCGATATATATATATATATATATATATATATATATATATATATATATATATATATATATATATATATATATATATATATATATATATATATATATATATATATAATCGAAGTGAAAACTGTACGGATTTCCGTACAAAATATCTTTGAAGTTGTTCTTTTCTCTCTAAGTATTATCTGACCTCTCACTCTGTTGTCTCTATCAATACATTAAATTTTTATTCAAATTGATTGTTTGTGTAGTTCACTTATCTTTCTATTCTTTTGTCATTTTGTTTTGTTTTGTTTTAAATTTCTTTTCATTATTCGTGATGGTTAAATGATAATATTAAGAAATTTACTAGTTTTGATAGAATCAATGAATAAATAAATGTTAAAAGGGTTATTGTGGATATTATAGTAATTTCAATAGTTGAGATCATGAGTCAATTGACGATAGATCACTATAGAAAACCTGGAAGCACTGGATGGCACTAGGACAAAACGGCCGTAAAGTACTTCCAGGTTTTCCATGGTCGTATAGCTTCAATTGACTCATGATATCAACTATTTAAATTACTACAAGATTCTTAAAAATCCCTTCTGATACTAATCAACATCTACTCACTAGTGACTGGCTTCAAGAGATATTCCCTGGAGTTCTAGTGAGAATCAGTGACCAGTGAATTTCAACGGGGTCTGTTGTGAGATAGTAACTCATAGAAGATAATGGTGAATGTGTCGCTCGATTTCGTGGATTAGTTGAAGTTAGATATTAACACCAATGGATATCGGCTGGCTCAGTGGTCTAGTGGTTGAGCGTTCGCACGTGAGACTGATAGATCCCGTGCTCGAATCTCACGAGGCGGGATTGTGAATGTGCACTGATGATGAATCCCACAATAGGAGGAAACGGTCGTCCAGTGCTTTCAGGTTTTCCATGATTGTCTAGCTTCAATTGACTCATGATCTCCACAATCGAGAGTAAATAAATCTTTATTGCTTGTTGATAATCTAAAAACAAATCACTTATGATATGTAACTGTTATTTTGTAGTTTTGAGATTCCTTTTTAATTAATTTCTATTTTAAAGTTAATTTTCATCATATATGAAATATTCTGACTGATTGAATTCGATCTTGCCAAACACTCGAAGATAGTTGATAGGAAACTTCATTCGTAAATTTTGTATTAGTTCACATATTTTTGTAAAAGTTTACTTGGAGTTTAAAAGGAAATGATGAAAATCACTGGGTCTCATGCCAGCAACTTCAAATCACCTAAAATCACAGAATACTTCATATGACCTCAAGTGATAATATTATATTGCAGTTTGATCGATTAAAGGACTAGTCAAATATGTGAATGGTCACTACACAGTGATCAATTATTTGTGAGTTCAACTGTATTAAAAGTAAGACGAAGTTCATTGGTGGGATAAGATGAATGTTATACTATATTATGCATTGATTGTAATTGATTATATAAACTTCAGAAAACTAACACAATTGTTCAATCTTATCTTATTCAACAATAGACACAAAATGTTTTACATTAGTCAGTGATTCCTCACTGTTGAAGAACCAGAAATTTATACAAAACAAATACTCATGTCTTACTAGTTTTAAAGTAATCTCCATCAAAACTATTCATCTAATTATTTTAATTTCTTATAAAATTGATATTTAAATTTATTTAATTATTAAGGTCAACAAATAGTATTACCATTTTAATGGCAGATATCATGAGTCGATTGAAGCTAGACAATCATGGAAAACCTGAAAGCACTGGACGACTGTTTCCTCCTATTGTGGGATTCATCATCAATGCACATTCAATATTCCCGCCTCGTGAGATTCGAGCACGGGATCTATCAGTCTCACGTGCGAACGCTCAACCACTAGACCACTGAGCCAGCCGATATCCATTGGTGTTAATGTCTAACTTCAACCAATCCACGAAAGTGTTACACCGTTCACTATTGTCTTCAGTGAGTTACTATCTCTCAGTGAATTTCAACCGGGTCGTCAAGTACTTCCAGATTTCCCATGTTGATCTAGCTTCAATTGAATTATAATCTCAAGTATTAAAAGTACTATAATATCCACAAAATGTCACCCTTCTGATAGTATTATCATTCTTTTATATTTAAAAATAATAATATTTTACATTTTTCATCTTTCATTTTTGTTTCTCTTCTTTTTTTTTAAATTTTATAGGTGATAAACCTTATTCATGTTCTGCTTGTGGTGTAACATTCACTCAAGGATCATCATTAAAATTACATATTCGATCACGTCATAATGATAATATTAAATATTTTTCATTAATACGTAAACCGGGTAAAAATAATTTAACAAAATTATGGACAAGAATATTAAAAAAAGATTTACCAAAATTAAATACATTCAAATCATCATCATTATCATCATCATCTCCATCTTCATCTTCATTATCATCCTCATATTATTATTATTACTATAATTATTGGAATAAATGGAAAAATTCATTAAATATTAAATTAAATAATCAAATAAAAACTCAATATAAAAATCAATTAAATTATAATTCAAATTTTATTGATTTAATATTCAATAATAACAATAATAATTCATTATTAATAAATGATAAAAAAATAAAAAAATTAATTCAATCAAATAATTGGAAATCAATAAATTCGAATTTCAAAATGAATATAAATAAAAAATTTAATCATCATAAAAAATATATAAATGATATTCAATCAATAAATGATGATTTAAAATTAAATTATGAAATAAATAATTATGATCATGATCATAATCATGATTATGATCAATATGATATTGATAAAATTAAATCAAATGAACAATTGATAAAACAAGAAAAAATATAAATTTAAACATAAAAAATAAATGAATATATTTGTAAATATTTCAATGAGCAAGAGAAATTAGATTACCTGATGTTTCGTAACTCAAAGTAAACCACTTCTTCAGAGAATAAATAAAAAATTAAATCAAAAATTAATCCAAATTTAATTAATATAAAGATAATATTATTGTATTGTTTATTTGTACTCTTTAAACTTGTATTCATTTTGATTTAATTTTTTTTTATTACTTTGAAGAGGTCACATACATTGAGTTACGAAACATTAGAAAATCTAATTTTTCTACTTATTGGGTTATAACTAATATATTAATATAATGCTCAACTTATTTGAAATTATCAAGTTCAACTATAGTAATGATACTGATACATTAAAACAAATTGAAAATGATTCAATTACATTTATAAATAAATAATTTAATAAAAATTAAAAGGAACAAAATTAAAATAATCTATCAATGAAATATAAGTTTAACAATTTAAAATTCTGTTCCATTCATAGTTAATAAATCAATATATATATATATATATATATATATATATATATATATATATATATTCATTCAATTGATCATTAGTAATATAAGGTTGTGAAAATTGTTAAAGCATTTTTTTATATGGATTAAGATCACGACTTGATCAATATTAGATCATTATTGAAAATATGAGATTATGGATATAAACTATTCAGAAGTTCTATATTGAAATGAAATAACTAATCAATAATTCAAAGTTGTTTTTTTTAAATTTAAATATTGATCTTACATTGATTGATTTATGATCTTAATAAAAAAAATCAATAAATCCACTTAATTAACAAGAATATATGATTATTATTATCATAATTAAAACAAATTAAAACTTTCATAACATTGGAATAATTAAAATTAAAATAAAATAAAGCGGTATTTTAAAAAATATATTTAAATGAATATTATTTACCATTCGATTATTCTTATTACTATTACTATTAAATCATCATAATCAAATCAAGTTTCTTTTAATGATATAACTTTATCGTTAAAGGAAAAAGCAAAACAAAAAAGAAAAAGAAGTAAAAAAGAAAAAAAACATTTTCGAGAAAAAACTATTGATTGTTTTCTTTTGAAATTCCGATAATTTGTAGTCATTATTATTATTATTATTATTATTAGTTTATTTGTTATATACAGTGTATTTATTTGTTTATTTATTTGTTTATTTTATTTCCTCATTTAATTGATCAGAATTTAATTTTTGGTTTTACTCATCATAAACTTATCAATTTAATCTGATAATAAGTTTTTTCTTAAAAAAATTATTTTAATTCAAAATATTCACTTGTTTTTTTAATTATTAAGTTTTTGATTGTGATCATGAACCGATTGAAGCTATACCACTATGGAAAACCTGAAAGCACTGGATGGTTGTTTCATCCTATTGTAGGACTCCTCAACAGTGAGCATCCACAATACTGTCTCACAGGATTCGAACTATAGATCTATCAGTCTTGCTTGCGTGTGCTTAACCAACTAGATCACTGAGCCATCTTGCATCCAGTGGTGTTAATGTCTAACTTCAACCAATCCGTGAAATCGCATGATCATCTTCCATTGTACTGAGGTAAATACCTGTCTCTCCCCTTCACGAATTAATGGTCCCACAATAGAACGAAACGGCCGTCCAGTGCCTCAAGGTTTTCAATAGTGGTCTAACATTAATCAGTTCATGATCTTAATCAAAAAATTTAATTATATGGGTTTATTAGCAGCTTATTTAAATATCTGGGCTATGTTGTTTCGCTTGACGATTTAGATATTTAAACAAGTGATCTGGTAGGTTTCTTTTGTTTAGTAATTACATAACCTATTCAACGAACGCTTATGGTACGTTTAAAACCTTTCTCTGTACAAGTTGTGATATATATATATATATATATATATATATATATATATAAAATGGAGATATTGTGGTGACTGACAACATGCATTGAAGAGAATGGACATTATCCAGATATCGATTCATTAACTGTTAGCATCTAAATGATGATCCTTCAATATTTATTGTCAGGATCAATCAAGAAATAAGAAATGGAAACGTGTTGAAATACTTTTGAGACAGATAGATCCTAGGTTTGAATCCCGCGAGGCGGGGTCGTTGATGCGCCCTGCTTAAGAGTCCCATACTAGAACGAAACGGCCGTAAAGTACTTCCAGGTTTTCCATGGTCGTCTAGCTTCAATTGACTCATGATATCAACTATTAAAATTACTACAAGATTCTTAAAAATCCCTTCTGATACTAATCAACATATACTCACTAGTGACTGGCTTCAAGAGATATTCCCTGGAGTTCTAGTGAGAATCAGTGACCAGTGAATTTCAACGGGGTCTGTTGTGAGATAGTAACTCATAGAAGATAATGGTGAATGTGTCGCTCGATTTCGTGGATTAGTTAAAGTTAGACATGATCTCAAATATTAAAATTACTCATTGTATCTACAAAACCCTTTCTGATAAAAACCATATAAATTTGTCATTCTCTCAATTACATTATTGATAGCAAATAAATTTGTCAAAATAATAGTCCTCCATAAAAAAGAAAAGGGAGTAATATTTTCAGAGAAAAAAACGGCTATTGAAATATGACTATTTTCTTTTCTTTACATGAGATCACGTTTTTGGTACTCTTTGTTTACAATCGATGAAGCGTAAAGTCAACTTGGAGGTTAAAAGACACTTATATTATACATATATATGTATATTAACAATTGGACAGAGTAAATGCCTTTATTAAGCTATTCTATGTGAAATGAATTGACAAGAATAATAAACTTTAATCATTAAAAGTATACAATCAGGTCATGAAAATGACGAACAAATTGGTTAGATAAAACATCATACCTGATATGTAATATAAGGTTGATGGATAACTTATGAAGTAATAAGATGTCAAAATGAGTACTATATTGATAGAAATGATCATAAGAACATACTGATGTAAAGAATACTCAGGTGGTATGTCAAGTAATAATGATAATAAGAGGAGAAATGGTGAATTTTTAATATAGTTAATGATATTGTTCTCAATAGACATAGATCCAAGTCATCGAGCTTTCAAAATACTGATAATTGAAATCTTTTAGCAATGGAAACAATAATTTACCTCCCTAAAATTTGAACTATTCTCATATTGTCAATTTAGAAATACATATGTAATCGAACGATATTGTTTTCGATTAGATCTTCATCAGGCTTTACTCTTATATACAGTAATATGTATGTGCATATAACGATCTTAGTGAACCAATCAAGGCAACTTTTGAGTCAGTGATTACAGTGGAACTAGATTACAAATCGTTAGTGTGATGACAGGCGCATTAGTTGAAATGAAGTTGATGGCTACTTACTTATCTTCAACCAAAAATGTTTATCAATCTTATTACTTACTTACTTATGCCTGTTACTTCTAATGGAGCATAGGCTGCCGACAAGCATTCTTTAATTCACTCTGTCCCGGGCCTTCCTTTCCAGTTCTATCCAATTTTTGTTCATTTTTCTTATGTCTATCTCCATTTCTCGGTGTAGTGTGTTCTTTGGTCTTCCGCTTTTCCTTTAGCCTTGAGGATTCCATGTGAGAGATTGCCTTTTGACGCTGTTGGGTGCTTTCCTCTCCTCAAACTCCGCCTAGAGCACTTCTGTGGCTACTGTCGGTCCCAAGCCCTGATAAAGTAGGAGTGTTGGGCATGAGGTTAGCGACCCCATCCGGCGAAAAACTAAATCGCCAAAAAACGCTAACCAGAAAAAATTATCAATCTTACTATTAAACGTAAAATCAAACATGGTAAATAATAAACGAATTGTTTTACAATATACGAAGAATACATCAGAAATTATGATCATGCTATTGAATCCATTAGGGATAGTCGTAGATTACAAGTCACCGAAATCACTACAGTCAATTTTGTATGAACACAAAATGAAATGGTGAGAAAAAAGTCAAACATTTTCAAAATAGATTACTCAAAATACGAGTGGCATTTCAGTGTAAGTAGTAGCCACGTTCTACATCTTTGTTTCTTTGTACACCAAATAGCTATCAAACGCCAAAGCACATCTTCACTTCTATCAATACATGTAGACATTTGATGAAATACGTCCTACTGAGAAAATATTGAACAGAAGAGATATAAAAAAGAGACAATTTTTAGAAGCTTAGCAATTAGGTCAATCAAAAACCAGTAAATATATCGAAATCAATCCAGGTTATCAATTGATTAACAAAATGCTAAACAAACGTAAGTCTGTATTAATTGTAATATTTACACAGAACCATATTAAGAGTGTGGTATATGCTACTTATATCTGTCGGCATAAGTAGTGTATAACACGAATCAAAAATTGAATGACTTGCAGCAAAAGGCTAAGAAGATCGAATTGAAAAAAATATAAAGAAAATGAGGATAGGAGGAATCATACAGAATGTGAAGGACAAATGATGGAAGATATGCAAATCAAGTATTTAATGTATGGTTATCATACTTTACGAAGATATTCCGTAATTTTGCATAAAATAATAAATTGGTTATCCCCACTAAGTCTTCATCCATTACAAAATATGTAGATAAAGGCGGGAAAGGTGTTGACAACAACAACTAATCCAATTTAATTCTAATAAAAGTAGATTTTAGTCATATGTGGAAAAATCTTTATAGTTCATTTCTATCTGGAATTTTTCTTGATAATTATTTTGAAAGATAAATTATTCATGCCGTCGAAGAGAACTTAGTTTCAACAGTTATCCTTCATAGGTTGTCACTTGAACTTTAGTTAAACTACATCGGGTCTAATAATTATTGGTTATACAATACAATACAGTACAATATAAAAAACGCGCCATTCTAAATTTAAATGTTATTTTGGTGGTACGTACTGAAATATTCGCGTTTTATTAAAGCTGGCAGTAAATGAACTCATTCATTCAAATGAATCGTGTTATTTATAATTATGACATAAATTCACAAATT